CCCGTTGTAATTCAAAACACATATTGTGTAACAAATCAATCATAGTAATGAATAATGATCAATAAAATCAAATATATTAACCACTTTGTGAAAATTAAGTTGTAGCAGAGTTTGGTTAAGTACATTAGTGTTGTACCAATAGAGGTTGGCTCAAGTGGTAAGCAACTTGATGTCGCTTAAGCAAGGTCTCGGGTTCGAGTCTTTGTGGATGCAGAAAATCCTTGTTGGGTGACTCACCCACCACTGTTAAGTGTGCAACTCAGGTCGACCAACGAATTAGTCGGGACATAGCTCCCAAACCGTGGCTGGCTACCCAAAAAAAAAAGAACATTAGTGTTGTACTCGTATTATATATAATAAAGCTTATTAATTAGCTCGCAATTTTACATAGTGTGGACCACAAGAACTTTATAGTTTCTCTAAAAAAGAGTTGTACTATGCCAATTAAGCACACTGTTATAGTAAACACAACAAATCCCTAATTTGGATAATAAATATAAATACTTTACATTATACGAGTTCATAAAAGTTCTTGTTCGTGCTGGCGTGACACGTGCCCCCAGCATTTGTCGCCTTAAAAATATGGTACGGAGTTTATGGGGGCATATGCAGCCCGACTCTGTTGACCATTATTTCTTAGGTCAGAGATAATTTTTGGATTACTTCACTACGTAATTACCATTTTACCTCTTATTTCAAATTCGTACTATGTGCTCTGTACTTTTACAAATTGTAAAGTAGATTATCGACGTAAAATACTCCAACATTGATATTAGTTTCTACGTATATTATTGTATTTGAAGATATTTAGATAGTTTTTTTGTACTTTAAAGGACCTATTCCTGTATATAACCATAGAAGATCTCGAAGATCATCCTAGCAAATATAAGATACCGTTCATTCAACTATTCCTAGCGTTCATTTCCTTAATAACTTCATTTAAGAATTCCTTTTTCTTTTTAATTAATTTGTAGTTATAAGTATTATTCTCAACCACCTAGTTCCTACTGGCTCGAGCATTGTCAGATGATTTGGTATATCGTAGCTCGATCTATACATCCATGATCATCTCCGTCTCGAGCATAGTCAAGTCATCATAGGAACCCTATCAAGCTCATGCATGGTCAGATCATTCTAGGACCCTAGATCATGATGTAACTCCAATACTCCATCTCCAGGGGCGGAGCCACCCCAAAGGCTGGGGTGGGCTCCAGCCCAGGCTAATTCAAAAATTTTCAAGGAAATGTATATATATTTCGGCCCATATTTGAGAGCAGCCCAGGTTCAATAGTAACAAAGTGACTCATGCATTTATATGGAAAAGGCTAATTAGCCCAATATTATTTACATCCCTAATTAATAAATGTAACAATTTTCCTAAAATTCTTTTGACTTCTCTCATTAGTTTTTTCTCATTTTTACCTTCACCATTACCGAGTACATTTCTTTAAGCAACTAAAGGCAAACCGACAATTTTTGAACAAGGACTAGCCACATTCAATAATTAATTTTTAAAATACCTAAAAATAAAAAGCAATAAAAATCTGCATAATGCAAATAATTATTGGTTTTATTTTATGCTTTTCTTTAATTGTATATGATTATAGTTGCTTGAGTTTCTAATTGTTTTATTCACCTTAAAAAAAAATCTCATGTCTTAATTGAATAATGTATGAGATGCATGAGTTTATTGTATTTATTTTTACTTTGTCAATAAAATCTTCTCTCTTCCATACACATAAAACATGCATTATTATGGTTTAAAAATCAAAATTCTTGATGGAATATTTTCGTCCACGAGGACCACGGCCCTAATCGATCTTTTGTAAAATATATTGTTAATTTCTATAAGATTGAATTTTCTTTTGAGTTATTATTATCATATTTTTTTTAGCAACAATTGAATTTCCTTTGAATTATTATTACCTTAATATTGATGAGATGTCGTATTTCAAATATTTTACTATGCGAGAATATTTCTATCATTTATGATTTGTTTCGGCGATTAGTAGAGACGGAAAAAGCACGACATTGTTACTTAAGAAAGATTCATTTTTAGAATATTTGTAGTTAACATGGAATATTGTATATGTCATTCTTAATTAAACCATACTTTCGTTCTGAGAGCTACTAAATGATACAAGAAACTTCAGAGTTTGACTAATTAAGGCTCGAGCTCCAGTCGTTAATATCGATAATCGAACCGTGCTCGAACTTCATGGCTGGGTGACTTTATCGACTCAATAAGGCTTGATAAACATAATAAACGAGCCATCACACTTTGAGCATGTCTAATTTTTGAATTTATTGTTTTGCATCTGCTGCACATATCCATGTACACGTGCCCCCTTATTAGTAGTTCCAGTTTTTAGGGTTTCTGTTTGTACAGGCTTTATATAGCCTCTTTGCCCTCAACACCTGTAAGCAATAAATGAGAATTATCTTCTAGTTATTTTCGGATATCCATGAGCTTTCTTTTCGAGTTCTGTATCAATGAATTCACCATTTCCAACAAGGCTCAATAATTTTGAGGTTTTAAGTAATTTCATGAACACTCGAACTTGGCTTGTTAGGGTTTGAGGTTGGCTCGTCATTCAACATACTCATTTTATTAAACGAGTCGAGCTATAACTTGATAGACAGTTCGCCCAGGGTACTTTTGGTTTCTGGCTACGCCCCTGTCCATCTCCCTTTGGTTCGGGCATTGTCAGGTCATTCTAAGACTCTAGCTCGAAATATTTTACTATTCTCCTATGATGATTAAACCATTGCAACACTTCCTTTTCTTATTTCAAAATAGATTTTGCCATTATTGTCAAACTAATATAGCCCAGTCCAGTAACTGGAAAAGATTAGCATGGCACGCGATAAATGATAGAAGACTGTTCTGCTTTGATCTTTTGGTTATTTTACATGTTTAGGACAATTTTTGAATTTTTTTGTATAAATACGACATTCAAAATTATACAGTTTAGAAGTCAATGAAAAAAATAAATCAAAAATCAACTATATGTAAACTGTAAAAAATAGTATATTTGTGTTAAATAAAAAATTCGTGAAAATAAAATGAGATTTGAAGGTAAATGATGTAGTTTTCTCTTTAGAGCACTGACAAAATGATGAACAATATTTTCAATACAATTTTTTTTTTTTTTAAATAAATACATTCTATCAATAGATTAGGATCTTTTACTTTTGAAACTATGAATGTAAAAACCAAACTACACCGGTTGGACCAAAAACCGGGCACCTAGCTGGTCCGATCCTCTCCTGAAAACTTGCATACCAAATAATCGAGTTTTGACCGGTCGACTCGGTCAAAACCAGCTAGTCAGACCACTCCAATTTTTTCATTTTTTAATAATAAAATAGTTTAAATGTTTCTCAATATATATTTAGTAAAAATAAAATACATATTTAAATATATCTAAATGTTTAACTAAAGACATTTTTTTTTTAAAAAGTTCGTTACTCAAAATATTATATAATACTCAAAACAATAACAATTAAACATTGGTCAAACCGGTTCAATCACCACTCTGACCAATGAACTATTAGTCATTTTGTTTTATAAAGACCGGTTCGGTTTTGAGAACCTCATCCAAAACATCCTAAATCAGTGACCAAACTTGTCGACATACCAAATTTTCCTGCAACCGTGAAGTACCACATTCGAACTATTGTTACAGTAGTGCAATTTTACAGTGAAAAGAGATAGAAAGAGATGTGGATGTAACCAAATAAAAACAGGTACTAAGTGTTCATTTAAAATGAACAATCAACAATATCAAGCACCTACAAATTTATTTCATGCTCGAGGCATGAGAACCGCCTAGCACGATACTGAATGATTATAGAAATTTTGCGCACAAGCTTCTTCTCCACAAAGCGACACATATAACTTATTAATTATCTTTATAGTTTTTCATCATCTCATCAACATCAAGTTCCATGGCAAGCACAGGTGAATCCTGAACCGCGCTAAAATCGCTGAAAAAGAAAAAAGAAGGAAAATTTTGAGCATTACATTCACTCGCAATTTTAAATCTCACTAAGAAAATCAATTATCTTCTGAATATATGAATACTCTTCTAAGAGAAATTGTCCGCGTGTTGCATAACATGATGAAGAGAGGATAAAACAAATACAAACACCACGATTCGATTTTTGTGTAACTAGACTAATGCTATGTTTGGTGAACCTAGCTTAGCTTATAGCTTCTAAGTGAATTTCGAGATTATAGCTTATAGCTTATGATTTATGGCTGAAAAGTTATATCACAAAAGTGTTTGGTAGAAAATAAAAAATTCAATGGGCTTATTTGAAAAGCTACTCAAGGAAGCTTATGAGATAAGCTCGAGTTTTTTAAGGCTATGTTTGGTAAAACTAGCTGATAAGCTAGCTTCTAGCTTATCAGTAATTTTCGAACTTATAGCTTATAGTTTATGACTTATAGCTGAAAAACTAGCTTATATGACAAAGGTGTTTGGTAAAATTAGCTGATAAGGCTGAAATAAAAATTTCAACCAGCTTATTCGAGAAGTTACCCAAAGAAACTTATCAAACAAGCTCGAGCTTTTTAAAAAAACTCGTCCTTCCAAACGGAGCTTATTTGAATATATGGAACTTATAAGCTAACCAAATAAGCTATAAGCTAGTTTATTTGTCTACCAAACATAACCTAAATAAACTCGTCCTACTAACCCAAGTTTATTTCAATACATGAAGCTTATAAGCTAGTTTATATGCTTACCAAACACGACCTAAATCAAAAGGCCATTTTTTTGTAATTTTCCGACTTTAAACTGAAATATAACTACCTATTATTGACAGGTCCATGATCTACGGCGTTCCTTAGGTAATAGATGACTCGACCAACTATGCTTGTCATGTTAACTGGACCAAATGTTCGACTATCATGCGATTCCTGCAAAAAGAAAAAACAAACAAAAAAAAAAGGCTTCATATCAAAAGACAGCTAGCCACAAGAGAAGTGTATTTGAATCGAGCATAAGCGGCTTATACCTTGGGTTTAAGATTTTCATTGTCCGCTGTTACCCAGCAATGATTCTTGTCGAGGATAAAAGGCTCGTCACTTTCATCAGAAGAAACCATCTCATATCCTTCAATAGCAGCTAATCTCCGGACAATATATTTGTCCGAGTCCGTAGGGTCTTTTAGAACTACAACATCCCCAACATAAACTTTCCTGTCAAAAAAAAAAAAAAAAACCGACACATCGCAAATCAGCTAATTCCAAAAACCAAATAGTATAAGATAACAGATTAAATACGTAAATGAATGAAAAAGAACAAGAGAAAGATAAAGCTTTTGCTAACCAAACGTGATCAGTCCTTTATAAATACAAAAAGAAAAAAAAAAAAA